GGGGGGGGGGGGGGGGGGGGGGGGCGGTCCGTGGGGGGAGTTTAAGCTGGTGGAAACCGAACCGGTGGGTCCTTGCCTCGTCTCGTCTTCCCGTTACTTTGTTTGGCCCCTCCCCCCTCCGATGTCCTTTCAACTTTCTTTACGACATTCTCTCCCACGGTGTACCCCGTCGTCGTCATTCCTCTGTATCGTAAATCGATAAACGCTGGAAAGCAGAATACAAGTGGGCGAGCGGGAATGGAAATGCACATGAGGGGGCCTCGTGGTGTGTGTATTCATGTTGGTAGGTTCAGAATTCAGAGGACGGTAAAACGCTTAGAATTGTTCTTAAAGTCCTCTTTGGGAGCTTTGCGACGGAGGCAGGAAGGGTGCTCCATTAAAAGGGTGCATTACACGTGGCGGCGTGCGTGCTGGCACGTGTATCGGTTCAAACGATCAATTACCGCTAAAAGGTCCTTTAGGGAGAGATTCAGATACAGCGTCGCCTGTGGTTCTGTGGATCATTCGTCGTCGTTCTACGTCGCTCACTGTCATCTTCCATCGTAGGACATACATAGTTTCCGTCTTCTTACTCCTAGTCGTCTCCCAGATAGCACATGACGCCTTGAAGACGGCTTAAAGACGCCATAGACCTGAAATAGACGTAAAATAGGCGTCTTTAAGACGTTATGTACTATCTGAGCTAGGCTTTTCAGGCGTAGCTAACTTCCCTCTACGTAGGAATACCCTCATTTTCAGTATAATTTCCACGCGAGATGACAGACAGAAAGGAGATTTCTCCCGTCTGGAGGAGACACGATGGTCTAGTGGGAGGGTGGGAGGGCAGGCGGGGTCAGGAAGATTGGGGGGAGGGTAAAAGACGCAGCGCAGACTTCTTGAGAACGTAAATGCCAGAGTCAGAAAACTGTGTGTGTGTGGGTGTGTGTGTGTGTGTGTGTATGCAGGGGCGCAAGAGGTAAGAAAATAGAAAAACAAAAGAAAAATGACTTCTATCCGGCCTGGGTCTGATCGTAGCAGGGCCAGAAACGATGAGAGGAGAGAGTATCTGGCAGTTGACGGTGGCCGATAGACGATAACGTGGCCGCCACCGTTAGCCGTCGTTGGCGGTCGTTTCCCGTTCCCCTTTCGCGCCCGGGCTAGGCTGTTCCTCTCGGTCGTAATCTGGCAGTGCATTTAACCACTTTGTGAAATAGCCGTATATCTCGCCACTGTGACGTAGCATTCGATACGTCGAAAAAGGACGGTTGGAGGGTTGAAGGTGGCGGCTAGAGAAGGAGAGCGGGAGAGGGGGGAGAGGGCGGGACGGAGGAGGAGGGGGGGGCGAGGTCAGGAGACTCCGTAGGAAAACCGTGGAATAGGTTGGAGAAAGAGGAGTCGGCGGGTATACTAGTAATGTTGTGCGCGCGCCCCGGCGGTGTACCCCTATTTAGAGGGGTGGAAAGCGCCGGCCGAAAGGTGGGGTTGCTCGTTGTCCGTGTGGGTAGGGAGTGGAAACGATCCCTACCCGGAGGAGACCAGCGCCGCGGAAAACGCGCACGAGCTGTCTGGCCGGAGAACGGTGGTGGGAGTACAGAGGGGTGGGGGGGATTTGCAGGGAACAGCAGGCTAGCGAAGGGGGTGAAGGATGCTGGCGGATGACGCTTTTGGAGGAGAGGAAAGGCGCCGTAAGGGGTGCTCCGAATCACGGTGGTGGTGTGTACACCCTGTATATAGTCTAGTCCAGAGTGGAAGAAGGGTGCGCCCTACTTCGCGTCGGCGTTTTCCCTCCTGGCAGTGTGCAACGACGATCCGAAAGAAAGACAGAGACACGGCGTCAGAGGGTATCTCTCCTCCGGTTCTCAGTGCCGGGCTTTTCATAGTCTCTCATTTCACGACGAGCGTTCGCGGCATCATCGGTTCTCGAGTGTTTTTTTGTTACGTACGCCAGAGGAAATAAAAGGGGGAAAAAAAAGTGAGTGAAAAATCAACCCAAGCACGGACAACGCCTCGGGCAGCACAGTGTGAGAACGCCGTTAGAGTGCCGAGTACAGTTCCCTAGTGGAGTAATTCGTGTGTTACGCGGGTGTCTGTGGTGCAAGACGGAACGACGGGCAACGGGAACGGGGTACGCTGTATAGTTACGAAGTGATTAATTTTGTCGAAACGTGTTCACGCGATCGGATCCAGTCAACGCACTCGGGATAGGTGCACCGTTGATCAACGCGGTTTACGTAAGAAGTGTGTTGTATGCTTACTCGTACGTGTCTCAATGTGCGCGCGCGCGTGTGACAAGTATCCGACAAATATACAGGAGAGCCAGACAGGAAAGAAGACGACGGTGGTGGTTTTCGTCGATTCGTGAGAGTTCGTCGTGTATCGTCGCCGGAGGATTTCGTTTTCGGGCGAAGTGAAGTCGCGCGCGCTTGAGGGATCGTCATCGAAGATCCGAGTCTCTTGGAGGATTCACGAATGGACGAGCCGAGACCACTTGATTCGAACCCTCTCGTTTGCATAATTAGCCGTAGTATGCTGGAAGAACGACACGGGGAGAGGGGTTCGTGTAAACTTTGGCGCAAAGGGTGAGGTGCGAGCAGTCGTCGTTTCGGGATACCGTGGAACGAACCGAACGGACTCGGCAAAAAAGGAAGTCTAGGAAGGAGGAGGTTGTACGTGGACAGAAATTTGGATATAGGAACGGAAGAGAAAAACGAGCGCCAGCTTGGCCACGAAGGATTTTCTCGGAAGGGCGATAATATTTTTTGGTTATTGATGCTTCTGACGAAGTCGGGATCCTCGAACGGAACAGTCGGGGAAGACAGCGTTTATCGGAACCAGGACCACTATACGACAATAATACACAAGCTCGTCATGGAAATCTCGGTGTTCTTATTTTACGTGATGACGTTGCTCGGCATTGTAACGAGCGACAAGTGCGCCGATGAGTGTTCCTGTAAGTGGAAGAGCGATCGATCCGGAGACTCAAGTGTTGGACACCAGCGGCAACGATATTCGGTTTCTGCCGAGCAAAATCTTCAAACGTGTACGCTTGACGAATCTACAGCGTCTCTACCTACGGGAGTGCGGTATCGACCGAATCGATAGCGAAGCACTGGCGGGCCTTACGAATCTGGTGGAGCTCGATCTAAGCCACAACCTATTGACCGTCGTTCCTAGCGCCAGTTTTTCGGACACACCGTTCCTCAGGGACCTCGTGATCGCGAACAATCCACTGAAAAGGATTCACTCGCTCGCCTTCAAGAGCACACCTAACCTGGTTAAGCTCGATCTCTCGCACACGCAGCTCGTGGAGATCGAGGCGAGAGGTTTCAAGGGTCTCGAATTACTGGAAAGTTTGAAATTGAACAACAATCAGCTGTCGACCCTTCATCCGGGCACATTCGACCCGTTGAACAAACTCACCAGTATAGAGCTGCACGACAATCCGTGGATCTGCGATTGTCATTTGCGCGAAATGAAAATGTGGCTGGTGAAGCACAATCTGCCCACAGTTCAGGCGCCTCTGTGCCACGGGCCTAAGCAGTTATTGAATCGTACGTTCACCGAGCTGGGTATCGACGATTTTGCTTGCCGTCCGATGCTCTTGATAGCCAGCCGGTATGCGGAAGCGACGATAGGTGAAAATGCCAGTATCGAGTGTCGGGTCAGCGCGATACCACCGGCTAAGGTGAAGTGGTACTGGAACGGACGACTGCTGACCAACCACTCGGCGTTCAGTAGTCATCAGAAGATCTTGATCTTCGAGGAGGGTCAGTTCAGGAAAAAGAGCACACTCGTGCTCACGAACGCCCAAGAAGCGGACTCCAGCGAGTTTTATTGCGTGGCTGAGAATCGTGCGGGCAGCGTCGAGGCGAACTTTACCCTTCACGTGTCATTGAGAACCGCTGGAATGTCCACCCTCGGTTCCGGCCAGATCGCGGGAATATCAGCCGCGTTGGTTGTCCTGATACTGTTTATACTTCTGATCATACTGGTGTTGTTCGTACGTTTACGACGGATGCCGTTGAAAGACGTGAAATCATCCGTGCCCGCGGATGGTGTATCGGCGGACGGCGGTGGCAGTAACGAGAATCCACCATCGTCCGCGACATCGACCACACGCCGAAAACACGAAGAGGTCGAGACCACGTCGTTCGGTGTCGAATCGAAACCTCCTGTCTCGTTGAGTCTCAGTTACGTTCAACGGCCCCAAGCAGCGTCGTTACAGACGGAGAACGAGTACGGTTCGATCAGTCGTTTCGACGAATCCAGCCAACCGTCCTCGACGATGGTCGCGCCGGGAGCGTGTTTCTCGTCGACCACGTCGCTAATGCCGATCGAAAATCCTGATCTGATCAGGGACACGCGACGTGGATCAGTGGAGGACATCACACCGTACGGCGGCGCCGATTACAGCCGGATGGAAGTGGTCGACGACGCGAAGATCCTTTACTCGAGTTGTCTGTGGGAGGCGAGGGATGCGTGCAGGACATCAGTGTCGGTCAGCACGTACCCATCGAAGGAGCAACTGGCGGTGGTTGCGCCTATGGTCGAGCAATTTCCACCGGGCGCTAAGCAGATACGTGTCTGGCAAAAGGGTGTGCCGGTGTTGCCGCCTGTCTCCGCGTTGAAGCGTGTCCTCGGCTCGACGCGCAGTTCACCCGACGAGGGTTATCAGGAAGGGACCGGGACGGATGTCTAGGTTCCGCTGCTTCATTACTGCGACGCCCGGCACCGTTACCTGGAGCTACGTAGACGCCACCAGGACGACACCGACTGTTGAACAAAATACGAAATAGAAAAACAAAGAATAAATGACGTCCTGTCCAGTGCCGGACGAGTGGTAGTGAACGATTAACGATAATTCACGTACTTTGAAAGATCCCGTCGTTGACTGACCGGATGGACATATTAGACGTTGACTTGTCACGTGGATCGCGTATACATAAACACGTAATATATATACATACATATATATATATATATTATACATAATACAGCCATACTTATATATAGAGAGAAAGAGAGTGCGTGTGAGAGAGAGAGAGCGTGTGTGTGTGTGTGTGTGTGTGGTCGATGAAATGGTCGCCCTCCGCGCGCGTGAGGTGTCCGTTCACGGACGTGGATTATACATATACATATAGAAGGGACGAGAAAGTCGTGTCGAGTCGTGGCCAACCGAACGGATGGATAAACGAACATCCACTTGTCGCGAGATTTACCCAGTGGTCGATGAGATAGTTGGATGTGTCGCGGCGATCGTCGTGACGATGAATGCCACTGTGAAACGAAGAATCCGCGTCGTGGGATCGATCGATGAAACCGAATTGCCATCCCGGCTGTTCGAGGAATAATGCTCGGCGGCGATTACACTCCGAGGCGTTTCGTCGCGTCGTGATGTGTGTGTGTGTGTGTGTGTGTGCACGACGTGTACGGAGGGGGAAACCGATGTGTGGCGTTCCAACGACCGGAACGATGACGCGCCATGCTAGGAGGAGTCTACGTATACGTCGTTGTTCGGTGGTTGTCTCGCAGCACAATATTGACGGGTAATACTTTCTACAACGGCTAAGAACGGACACGTGAATGAAAAGAAAAAAAGGGTGTGAAACTGATCGGCACCTGGGAGGGGAGATAATGTTAAAGATTAATGTTAACAGGAAACACAAAATACAAATACACACACACACACATATACACGTTTATTAAGGTTAAATGAACAGGAAGACTGCAGTGCATGTTCCAAAGGACGTGTAGATAGACTGATTGTGGGAGACGAGTATAATTTCTATTGCCGTGTTGGTTACACCGTAACCAAAGTACTAGACGTGGATTTTCTAGTCAATTCCGAGGATTGTAATTAGACGATTAGATTGGACACGGGTCGCGGACACGTTACGATTTTATTCGTTCCAGGGTCGTGAACGTGTTCGACACGCTTGTCGCGACCGAGCGTGCATAAATGGTGACGATGGCCAAGAAATGGGATATTACCAAATGTTTCCGTCGTATCTTTGCGTGATTCGGACAACGTTATTTTTTTCATTTCATACCTATTTACGTATGAATTACACGTATATCGCCGAGATTCGATTTTCAGTGTGTGTGGGGGGGGGGGGGGGGAACGGGGACGAGGAAATATAATCGATCAATCGGAGAATTTACGCTAACGAATGAACGCGACGTACGGAACCGATATTGTCACTTCGGATTTATTATTGACGTTCGTGTTCCCGAAACGAAAATTCACGGAAAAGATAGAACGTGATATACAGTCGTTACGATTCCCTACGACGCGACGGTAAATTGATTTATTTTGCGCGCGCTAGAAAGTGTTCGAAATACAGTTGTTCGCAAAAGTATCCGGTCGTCGGAAATTAGATGGATTCTCGCGGAAGGTAGATGTCATTTTGAAATGTTTATTGGTTTCTTCTAACGTCCTTAAATGAACAGGTGTCCAGAAGATGGGTTGCAAGTTAGAAATTTTTCAAAATGAGTGATGCAATAAATTACTTTCTCATTATTGGATTGTTATTTAGTTTTTCAAGTGGAAGACGGGCAAATATGTTACATCAGCTGTTTCTTTAATTGCTATAGCGAGCAAGTGTTTTTACGTTTTCCTGTCAATTTTATGAAATGTAACGTTGTTCTAGACATCCGTGCAAATAGGATGCTTGTTCGCTTACTGCAGAACTTTTCGTACGATTGTTGCACGACAAATACATTTAGGAAACTTTGAATTGCGATTAATCTTTGGTATGAATTCTTAATGTTTGTTTGCAACTTTTCAAAATTTCCAATTTTTATATTTTGAGCAGGGACTTCTACTGAAACGTAAAATACCGGTATTATACGGTATTTCGGTTGTACCTTCGCCCTATAAGCTTATCCTTATAGAAACCGAAAAATACCGGTATTTATTTCGGTTTTCGGTAATATATCGGTTTCGGTATAGCTTTGATGGCATAATACCGGTATCAAAATCATACCGGTTTAAGTCCCTGATTTTGATATCTTCAGCGGGAAAAACGTCACAAGGGCAAGTGGGATAAATAGACTAAACGCACCAATGAATGATCACTTGAGAGATTTTGTAACTATTAAAGCTGAATCTTAAATGATAATAATATTAATGAATATTTGGAACATGAAATTTTAATTTTTTAATATCTATACCTTTTTATAACGTCTAAATTTCAAATTGAAACATTGGAAAATGTAATTAATAAAATTGAAAAGAAAAAGTACAGATTTCACTGTAAATGCACATTTCTAACCAATAGCGCGGAAATTGTTTGAATATGAAACCAGGAATAGAACAAATCAATGTTTCATCATTTGCTTATTTTAAAAACTTAATTTACTCATTTTTATATACAATCTTCATTCATTAGTACGTGCTCATTTACATATTGGTGTATCGATATGTCCCAGCACGTTCCCATTGTCACCTAGTGCTATAATATCGCTTATTTGTTGCAAGAATGACACAATTCAAAGATTTGCAGTTTTTGAATTATTAGTATAGAAAAAACGCTTGTTATCTGTACGTTTTATCGGTGGAATTCTGTCAGTGAGCTTTCAAAACTTACCACATCAGAACAGTCATTTTAATATGATGTTCGTGCAAAATTATAGCGATCGAAACATTGCAACTCGTTTTCCCTAAAATCGTGAGTTTTTAGTTATGTCGTTATTATACCAAATGAGCGATATGATTTGACAATACATATGTACCCTATCTCCATGGGGGAACTAACCAATCAGACCAGTATTCCTTCTGTTTGCCATCTTCAGAGCAATGCATAATTTTTACTTTATATACAGTAAATCCTCGATGAGTGTTCGAAGGCTCCTCGGAACTGAACATTAAATACTTCATAAAATAACGGTCATATCCAGCTGAATTCCAAGTTCTATTATTGTGCTAAACCTCATTAATAGACTGCGGATTTTTATGCAAAATAAAATTTTCTAAATTAATTGTTGAAGACAAGAACAGAAGTAGGAATTTCTATCTTCTCTTAATTACGTTATCGAGTTAAGAATAAAATAGAAAATTAGTTGCATTCGATGAAAGTTTTGTCTTTTATTTCACAGATGAAATTATTTTTTCACACATTAAAAGGTCTTCGAGCACTCATCGAGAATTTGCTGTATCATGCATGTAATTTACTGTTTATTAATTTTAACGAAAGCTGTGCACTCGAATGACGACTATTTTGATACGATTGTGAAGGACTATTTTGAAATATTCCACGCAACAGCAATTAGAAACGAACGAATTCCTCGTTTTCGAAGCGTTCGCTGGATACTTTTGCAGCTGTTGTATGCATACCCGCGTCAACAACACTGCCTCTTCCGAAAAAAAAAGTTATCGGGGGAATTTCAATCCTCAAGCATATCTCTAAATAATAACTTATCGTACGCCCATACATATCGGTACGTCGGGTTTCAATTACCGACGTTTGATCGCCGCGCGGTGCATATCTTGACGAACGACGGAGGGGGAGGGAGAAAGAGGGAGAGAGGTTTATCGAACGAAATGCTCAAACCGGCGGGAAATATCGCGATCCTGGCATGTATCCGTCGTCGATCGAGACGCCTCTGTTTTTCCGTTCATCTCGTCACGTCCTTTTCGTTTGTTTTTCTACTTCACCCGAGAGCCAATAGAATCAATTACATAAGACTGTATAGTAAGCACGGGCGGGACCGATGGGCCAATCGCGAGCGAATACAAACTTATTGCTCAAACACTGAAAACGGGGAGGAGCTCGGGATTGGCCGATCGGCTTTGATGACCTCGCGTTAGTGCAGTGGTTCTCAACTGGTGTTCCTCGAAATTATGGAAACGATTCTTTTTTCATTTACTGCTGTTTAATCTATCGTTTTTAACCCTCTGTGCTGTATAATCTATCACAGGGTGGTCCACACAATGGTTTCAGGTCATAATTCAGTTATTAATACATTTATGAAAACATGTCGAGGGACAAAAATAAGTGGCTCGAAGAGCACTACATCTGTAGGCCCTTAAATTGTTTTTAAGTGCAACAGTGTATGTGCAATTAACAATTGCATCATTTCTTTAAATGGAAATGCATACTGTTGGTTGTACAAATCGATTCCTCTGTTCATTCTACGTAAAACATTATTAGGGTACCATGGCAAAAGAATTATTAGTTCTAGAGATATTTTCGAAAAATTTCTGTATTGAAGAAGATACTCAAACGCTTCTCCATTACATTGTAAACATTTCTGATAGCGTTTTTTTATTGTTTTCATAACTTTGTTTAAATTATCTGTGTTATTTTTTTTTATTTACGTTTACTATATAGTCATAAAACGTTTAAACATCTTCTTCAATAAAGACATTTTTTGAAAATATTTCGAGAATAATAATTTTTTTGCTAGAAATAATTTTTTTATTTAATTTTGCCCTAATAATTTTTTACGTAGAATGAACAGAGGAATCGATCTGTGTAGCAAACAATATGCATTTCCATTTAAAGAAATGATGCAATTGATAATTGCACATGCACTGTTGCACTTAAAAACAATCTAAGGGCCTACAGATGTAGTGATCTTCGAGCCACTTATTTTTCTCTTTTGGCATTTTTTCATAAATGTATCAATAACGGAATTATGACCTGAAACTTGATTTTGTAAGTTGCATATCGGTATAACGATATTTTTTGACGATATGTTTTGCCGCCATGTGGCGATTGTCAATTCCAATTCGAGACATCCGAATAAT